AATCAGATTTAAGCTTAAATCAAAAGGAAATCCGTTCAAATTAAGAGACTTGGTTCATGATTTAAGCTTAAAGCTGATTGAATCAAGAGTCCTTTTTCTTGTCAATATTTTCAAGAGTCTGGACTCTAGATACAATGTGTTTTTTTTTCCAGTGTGGTGAAAAGCGTAACGTAAAGATATTAATTTTAAATATCTGTTAATAATCTCTTGAACAAAAAGGATTGGAAATAATTAGAGTGGGATACATCGAAACACCACAATCTAGAAACGTATCTTACACTGTTGTCTTACAACAACGCGAACTACTAAAAATTTATTACAAATTTGTAAACGCTCGAAATCAGACGCACAATAATGTTGTAGTTACTGCAGTAAAATTATATACCTAAGCAGTAAACCTTTCTTAATTATCTAACTTGAAGCGCAAATTAGTTTTTACCAGCATGCGTGCGTATATGGTTACAACCTAGAATTATAAATTGCTGAACAATTACGAGATTTCTCTCCTCGCGTAACGCCAGTAGATACTTCGATTGTCGATATCGATATACGTATACGCATTCTGCCTTACTACGGAAAAACGCCGTATGAAAATTCAAGAGTTGCCAAATTTCCTTCGATAAAATGTTTATTTTTGAGGAAAGCTATGAGTATTTCTCCTTGAAATTTTCGAAAACTTTAGGTGAAATTGCGAAAAAAATTATCTAAAAAATTGGAAGGAGAATATTTATTAGTTTACCAGGGAATCTGTGTTTTATCAAAGGGAATTTGGCAACGTCTGAAGGCTCATACGGCGTTCTTCCTCAGCACGGCCCCGGTATTCGAATAAGCAGCGCTGGTTTGATCCGCGCATTCCTATTTTTATTTGCTATTCTAAACGGTTAGAGAAGAGGCTATTGTTCCGGGCGAAGATGCGCTGGCCATCAGGCGGGCAACAATAGTGACGACGAAGCGTGGGTAAAATTAAAATTAAAATAAAAATAAAAAGCTCTTGTTTACGACGCATGCACAGCGCCGCCAACGCCAACAGCGTTTATCGCGTCCATTAAGGAGAATTATAAAAAAAGTGTTGGAAAACATTAAACCATGATTCACGGGTAGCGACTTTCCCGTTGTTTTTTTATCGCGTACGAGATTAAATAATAAAAAAAGAAAAAGAAAATAAGAGCCGGACATTAGCTTTGCATGGTATTGCCAAGTATCTTCGTTGTTCATCTTAAAGGCGCAGGCTCCTTCGCTAGCGATAGGTATCGCACGGGCGACCGGCACAGGCATGCTTGCACCAGGGGTCTTGTAAACAGGTCGGCCCTGATTATGAGCCTTTCTTACAGAGAGGTTCAGCCCGCTGCTGGAGTGGTGTAGAGTTTCCCGCGGGATCATACTCGAGTACATTAGCTTTTATAAGACTTCGCCACCTCCGGAGATAAGTTTGCGCAAACATGCACCCACGGACACCCGACAACGAAAGTTTGCCTGATGCGAGAAAGGAATTCCATATACGAAATCATGAGCTCTAAAATTATGCACAGAAGAAACATTCCGGTGAGTATGGAACCTCAAAGTTTTTAGTCATAAGAGCCCAATTTCGGCTCAGAAAAGTCTCTGTTAGCCATAATGTACTAAAAAGAATGTTAGTGGAATTGCTTTGAAATTTGCTGAACATTTTTCAAAAAAATTCACACAAACGTTCTCTTGTGACAAATTAAATTACTCGGTTTTGGCTAAAGTGGCTTGGTTCCTTTCTGCTAAACGCGGCCGAACTGTCTGACTAAACGGAGGCAAAAGACACAATTCCAGTAGTGTCAGTTTCTGTCGTTGATCAAAAATCATGAATTTATAGATCTTAATACACCAGCACGGTTGTCAGGGCTGTCACCCTTCTGTGAGGATTTCATTTGGGAAGAAGAACAAATGTAATTATGACTGATTAAAAATTACAAAAATACAAAATTATCACTCACCAGTTCGATCGAAAGTGATTTCTTCGCAGGAATCATCGTTGTTGACATCACATCGATACACGGAGCCTCCCCTTTCGACGCCAGGCTGGCCCGTTTGAGCCTCGGGGGCACCAACTAAAACCCTGCAACACAAAAGGAGACAAGAAAAATTATTTAGCGAATATGATATCGTTAAAAAAACACCACAAATGCACACGTTGATGCTAGGATTTAGACGCAAGGAAAAAGAAATAGTGTGAAAAAATTCTCCAATTACTCAGACTTTATCAACTGACCCATTCACACGGAGGCAGTAAATTCTTCGTTTCCCGGACGAGGAAACGTAACTATATTCCAAGGTTGCAAAATCGAATGATATCGTTAAAAAAAACCACAAATGCACACGTGACGGTAATGCTAGGATTAAGACGCAAAGAAAACGAAATAGTGTGGACAAATACTCCAATTACTCAGACTTTATCAACTGACCCATTCAGACGGAGGCAGTAAATTCTTCGTTTCCCGGACGAAGAAACGTAACTATATTCTAAGGTTGCAAAATCGACTGGAAAATTTTAATTTTTTCCAAGAATGCATAACTCCGCAAACTTGTCCTAAAATTGTCCCGATTTTACATGAGATCAGAGGAAAAATTAGTGAAATTTTCAGTTGGAAATGCCCAAGATTTTCCAGATAAAAATGCGCAATTTGCAAGGGGAAATTCGGCAACGCTGAAATGTAGTTACGTTCTTTCGTGGGGGAACGAGGGATTTCGGGGCCATTTGGAAACAACCCTCACGACGATCTGGCGGGAAACGAGTTGACGGCTCGATTAGGGCGATAACAGAAATTCCTCCGGATAAAATGGGAGAAAAGAAGTAGTTCAAAGTTCAGTTAATCGTGGCAATTCTTCACGAGACGTCTGAAACTGCCGTAGCACGTCCTCGGCTCGGCAGATCTTCCAGACCACTCTGTCGTATGAGTAATTCATTTTTGATGAGCTGCTCGGACCAAATTAGTACCTATAACAACCACCGACGCCACGCGCTCATTAAAAATACCGCACTCGAAAACCGGGAACAAATGGAAATGAACCAAGAAATAAATTAGGCTGCTCTCTCGACTTTGGGATCAAGATGTAACTTACTCCTGGGACGTCAACTGGTGCTCGGTAATGGTGCATGGAAGCTACGAATATGAAGGGTAAAAAATAAATTTTCCAGAAATATGGCAATATTCTGTACCGAAAGATGTGAGATAATCAAGGAGTGTGTATGAGACAAATCAGGTACAAAAGTGAGTCATAAGTGTCTCAATGCCCCCCAGCAATAAAATGAAAAAAGGCTAGTTCGCTGACGTGCCACTCATTTTCTGTTTCCGTTGAGATTTTGAATGATTTCTCTAGCTTAGCTGAAGATATTTCAAAAGTAAGTATCATGTAAGTGTTCAGTAATACCAAAATCAAAATGCGTGCTTTTTAGTTTCGTTAAATAATAGTTATTAACAGTTCATGACTATGCTTACATCTGTTTTAGTGAATCTGAAACCGATTAGATTTAAATTAATGCAAATGCAACGAATGAAACATTTTAGTATTATCTTAAAAATTTATGAATCGAGAAATTCATAGTTTTTTATCTCCTCGCCTGAATTGAAAAATTCGTTTAATACCAAACTTTGAGTGATATTGCGCCGTTGGCTCTGTGCACCGCTTGAGAGCCTCACTAACTGCGTTGTAAACATTTTGGGCGAGGGATGAGTTTTAGTACACATCAAATCGACGGTGAAGTTAAATAAATCGGACCTAGATTACAGAGTTTCAAAATTGTCACGGTATTAATTTTTTATTTCTACAGAATATTGCTAAAAACTATGTTCGAAATTTTCGAAAAATATTTTTGAAAAGACGAAGAAGTATTCGACCGTATTTTGTGCAACAGAGGTATTCTAAAAAAGTAAAGTGCGACCGAAAAGCCACAATATCGACCAATTCAGATAAGTTAGTGATTTTGTGAATTTACCATCTATATGTTCAGAGCAGATTCCATGAAAACTTTCAAGGATTTTCAGAAATTTCGTTGTACAAGATGTTTCTTCACGAAACTTCGAACCCGATTGCACGGAGAAAAAACCTCGTGCGTGGGACCCGAAGTTTAGGTCATATGGATCTCTGAAGTTTTCGGATTGAGCATCTGAACACTTTAGGTCTAGCTGTCGAGGTTCGAATCGCACATCTGAAACTTCAGTCCTTACATCTGAAGTACTTCGGTTTTTCGGATGTTAGAACCGAAGTTGTTCAGATGTGAAAACCGAAGTACTTCAGATGTAAGAACTGAAGTTTCAGATGTGTGATCCAAACCTCAGCAGCTGGACCTAAAGTATTCAGATGCTCAATCCGAAAACTTTAGAGATCCATATGACCTAAACTTCGGGTCCCACGCACGAAGTTTTTTTCTCCGTGTGGACTGAAAAAACGAGTGTACGGCTGTTTGCCTACCCACTCGAGCCAGGGGCAGGCAACGCTCTCATCATGATTAAATCAGCGAGGATTAGATGCTGGAGGCTGATTGGTTTACGTGCAGACGCGCGGTTCGGTGGCTTATTTGATGTGGTCATCGGACCTCGTCGTCGTGATGGGATGCGCCGCGCGACCACGTGTAAATTGAATTTAAACGGCGCTGATTCAGGGGTTTCATGACCAGATTGTCCTACAAAACACACCAGCACGTGAATTCGGACATGAGCCGCGGTTTGCAAGTGTTTTTACGCGTTGGGAGACTCACTCCAACATGGACTTACTGTTGCAACTCGTTGGAGTGGGCGGCGGGTTCCGCGCAGATGCACCACTTAATTCACGGATAATTGGTGGTCCTTTTGTCTTACACTCCTCCAACCACAGGGCTCCCGCTGTCGGACACGGCGAACATGCCCGGTGGACAACACCCTTCATTTGAATTCGCCTGATCACAATGCTCACACTCACCGTGTTCCATTTTACATGGACGTGTGTGGTTGCTTCAGCATCCGGCTCATGTCGGTCCGCCACCGATCCGAGATCCACCTTCTTCGGGACAACTGTTTCCATCTTCATTGTGAATCGGAGAGACGACTGAACGTATCTCTGCGAAACGGAACTATGTGCATTTTGACGTGAGCCCTGTTATGCATGTATTCTTATGGGTCTCAGGGCTCATGTCTCAATGCACTTAGTTCCGTTCGGCAGGAATAAGTCCACCTGCGTTTTGTGTGCGAATCGGGTGAGGCTGCGGAGAAATTAAGAGTCGAGGTGGACCACCGGGCACGGCGAGAGTTAAAACGTAACAAGCCATGTTTCCATGCTAAAAGGAACTATGTGAAAATGAAATAAATCAAAAGAAACTAAGTACGCAAACCCAATTCACTTAGTTTTTTTGAATTGCTTCATTTTCACAAAGTTTCTTTTAGCATAAATACTTCTAATTAATGGAATGTGGGGTGACTTAATCAGCACGATCCGAAAGCAACTCAGGGCTAAAAAATTAGCAGTTATATTGATTCTACTATAATTTGTAGATTTAAAGCAAGCTCACAAAATTAAAACAAAGTCTAAAGAGGTAATTTTAACCCAATTTTAATGTCTCCGACCTATCAATTGCATATTAAGATTTTAGTGGATAATTCGATGGAGTAGTTCAACGGAGACCATTATCCAATCAGAAAATCTCTTGGGTGCTGAATCAATAATTCAAAATAGTAAGACATGCTTAATTTAAGAAGCAAACTGTTGAGCCTCAGGACACGTTTCGTCATTAATTGTATCGAGGAGCTTTGAAATGTTTCACAATTTAACTACGTTTATTAATTTTTGTAATCAGAGCTTCCCCTAATATCCTAACTTTTAGCAGATTTTACCAGCTGATTTCTTTTGAAATCAGAATTTTGGAACTTTCGAAGAGTGAAATCATTTTATGACTCTGAGATGTAATTCATTGCCTGCTTCCTAGCTTTCCCTGGGCTGAAAAAATCGCGAGTCTTCTTATAGGGAAGTTGATAATTACAAAAGTTGTATATGGTCACCGATACACTCCCCGGCCCCTTCACATGGCCCGTAATTTATAGCCGATCGGCCGCTACTTGGGCCCGACGTTATTAATAAACTGTAACGATTATATTTATATTTAATACTGACGATAGCCGCGGATGAACACGACACACGCTCAGAAGAAAGATACCTCTGCTACCCCCGACTCCCAGCCTCCGAGCCAGAATAGAGATAAAACCATTTCAACAGGCCAATAATTAATAATTATCAAGAGGCCGGTTCTCCTGGCGTGGCCGCTAACAAGGTAGATTGTTTGCACGGCCAGGCTTTGACATGGGAGAAAAAACTGAGTAACTACGTTGTCAGCACCGCCACACCCCCGATTCCGATTAGACGCACTTAAATCGCACCGATCATTGCGGAATAATTAGGAAATCCGGCATCGTTGGTGAACAACCAGTCAGATTTCCCTGTGCAAGATTCTCGAGTCAGTTACCGTGTTTTTCGAGTTGACACCTGTGCACCGAGTGTATCGAAGGTCGTAATGCGATCGATCGGGAAGTCTACGACCCTGGCTCGCTAATTAAGCACCGGTGAGTAATCGACGAGTAACCGGTGAGTATCCGATGAGTCGATTTGTTGCGGGAGACGGCAGTAACGAGCGGTTTCGAGTGGAGCCGATCGGCTGCGCGGATAAATCGAACGGTGCAGGTTTCTCCATTCATGGTTCGCAAACATTACTCGTTGAGTAAATAGTCGTAATTTGAGATGTTGGATCTCCGTAACAGCTGTTCCCCCGGAAAGTATCTCAGAGCGATGGGTCTGGGTCACACAGCGCGGGCCCCTCTTTTTACGTCATAAACGAGTACTCCTTTACTCACAACAGCTACGTACAACAGCCCCTGGAGACTCACACTCTACCAGGTCTCTATTTGCTGGAGTTTGACGGAGGGTGAGGATGAGGGTGGCGAAAGCTTGCTCATTGAGGGGGTGGCTCGTAAGAGTGGTGGAGGTGCCAGAGCGGCTAGGAAGGGAAATCACTCGAAAAGTTCAAGGGCACATCCTACATTTTGGGGTTGAGAAGGGAATATACGACAAAACCCGAGTCATGAGACCGGGCGT